CTCCAATTTTATTTTTTTTTTTGGCCTCGGTTCATTTTTGCTCGAGTTTCTCTATGATCCAGGAAGTATTGGCCTCCCAATATGGAGAAGGATGAGGGCGGAAATGGGCACCACCTGGAGGCGGAAGTTGAGGCAATACGGCTTCCGCCTTCCATTTGCCGGCGACCTCCCGGCCCCGCCGCCGCCGCTAGTGCCGCATCTACCCCGAGGGCTGAGAGGGGCCCAAAGCCTTCGGAAGGGCCATAGAGTCCGGGTGCGGTAGAGCGGCCCTCCCTTGGCCCAGATTTCTCTGCATTGCCTGGGAGACGGGAGAGGCCAGGGCGGGGGTGTCTTCAGACGGGGTCTGGACGAGGTTTTCCATAGGGACGAAGCCTGAATTGTCTCCTCTTCGCCGCCGCCCCCATTCTGGCCCGGAGTCCAGCGCTGTGACTTCTGACTCCGCGAAGCTGTTCCCCTGGACAGGTGGCCTCCCCTCGGCCTCTCTGACCTCCCTGCCTGTGTGACCTTTGAACCCAGTCCGTATCAGCTTCTCTCCCAAGGGCTCCCTTTTGATTTCCATTCTTTTCCGTTTCTCTTTCCCCCCAAGGAGTAGGTCTCTCTGAAGGTCTGTTCTTCAGCCCCCCCACCACTATCCTGACGTTTTAGATCTCCTTTGCTCTGCCCGATTCCGTCTCTCGAGAGGCTATCTGAAAACGAGGCTTTCTTACTCTCCCGGTCTGTCAAGATTCCCCCGTTTTTGAAAGGAGGACACCGGCTATGCCCCCTGGCTGGGGGAAGTGGGGAGGCTGAGACGGTTACTCTGGATCCGGGGGGGGGAGGGGGGCTTCAGTGGTGGTGTGGCTGTTCATATATGTGTTTGTGAGAGCCCTAACCTTTCTGCGGCCTGGAAGAGCGACATTTCCCTAGGAGATTTGTAAAAGAAGTCATACTGTGATTACACTACCTAGGTAAGTGACTGCCGTCAGCAGGTCAATATGAGCAGGAGAGGGTGGAGGCTAGGAAAAGGAATTATATTTATAATGTTTGGACAGTGTGTCTCAGTTCCTTTTCCTCTTGGCTAGAGATTATTACTTGTTTCAGTTTTAGTAGCTGAGTCTGATCTCAGAAATTAATTCACAGGGCAAGTGTATCCAGCAGGAGAAGGAACACCTTTCAGTAACGATGAACTGAGGCTAATGTTGGTATGTGAGACAAGTTACGTTAGTGCCAAATAATTGGGAAGAAACAAGAGGATTTTATTCTTGATTGAAATGAAAGTGTTCATCTCAATGAACTTCCAGCAAATTAATAGTGCAGATTAAGTTTTAAATAAAGATGATTGATGAGAATGGAGTATACTAGAGCATGTAAAATTATTAATGGTGTAGAGACAGAACAGAAGAATAGAATGAAATGGATTGGTAGACTGAGGAGCAAAGAAATGCTGCTTCATGCTATAAATCCATTATTACAATATGTTTTGATAGCAACTGCTACCTTTTGATAGCTTTGAATATAGATTAGAAAAGCCTGTCAGAGGTTATTAAGCAATACAGATTTTAGTAGAATGTTTGTACTCAGAGATAGTATATCATAGATAAAACAGATGCTCTTGAAAAACCCCAGGCTTATGTATTGCTTGCATATCAGTTGTCCAGAACTATGTGGCTGTCCACTGTCGAAGAATGATAAGTGCAGATGCATCATTAGTTCAATTTAATTTAAAAGTTAAGTAACTATTATTACTGTATTTCCTATTTTTCCTTCAGAACCACAAGGTGAAATACCTGTTCTCTTACCCCACTATGTTGTTTTCACAACAGGCTTGTAATTTTAATGAAGAGATGAGGATTGGTTTAAAATAATTCACAACCTTTATGGCTAAGTGGAAATTTGAACTTGAGTTTCCTTAAGTTTCCACACTTTTATTCACCTGTCCAAAACATCTTCCAGCTATATGAACATTATTCTTCTTTTGACTTCCTTACTTTTAGCCTGGCCTGATTTGGAAATAGGTAAAGGAGAAGTACGGCATCTGCACCAGCCCAAAATGCCTTTGCTTCCTAAATTCTTGCTTGCAATTCTTGTTTCAAGAATAGGGAGGAAGTTGAGTGTCAGAGAGCTTGCTTTCTACTTATGTTCAGGTTGCATGTCTGTTTGGAAGATAATTAATACATTCTCTCAGTAGCTGTCTTACCTACAGTCTGTTTTGCAGGTGACCTTCAGGGTACTGTAGCCTGTATGTCTCTTAGAGTACATGGCTTAGCTTTGTTTCAAACAAATTTGGGGCAGAATGGAATGAGGCAAGAGCTGTGACATTTGGGTAATGGACAGTGAAAAATGTATAAAACCTGCTATAGGAATATCAGAAATGATTCTCATTAAATCTCAAAATTTGAAACATTTTAGAATCCTCAATCATTTCTGGTATGGGAGTTGGGAATTACTACTGCAACGTTTCTTGGAAGTGCAATAATACTTACAGACTTTGCATTGTCAGTCTGCTTGCAGCTGCTTGGTTTTTGTGGACTCAGTTATGTTTCATGTGTGCTCAACCTTCACTGAGTCATGTAAAACTAATTTGCTATATAATCATGACTAGCTGATGGATGATACAGAGGAGTTGAGGGGTGGTGCAGGCTGAATTTTAAAAGGATTTTTTGAAATGGTTTTAAGGAAAAGTTTTAAAATATTTCATTTTTAGGAATAAGTAATTGAATGAAAATTAGGAATGCAAGAAATTAAGCCTACACTAATAATATTTTCATAGAATTAATAGTATTGTAGCAAACATTTCTCATGTTCAGAGTACTTTTGGCCAGTCTTTCCCAACATGATATCTTCCAGCTCCCTTAAGGAGAGTAAGAGGTGAACTCCAGTGCATCTGGAGGATCCTAAGCTGGGAAAGAATGGGATTGGGAGATCATCTTTTAAAGTAGCTTTAAATTTTAAACTGCCTGGATTCTGTAACTTGGTGAATATTTAACTTCTCTCTCTTTCTTTCTCCCTCCCACCAAAAAAAAAAAAAAGATTATATTTTATTAAAAGTAATTGTTCTTTCCAATAATTAATTATCATTTCTTCATTTTGGAATGCCTTGAGATTTCTAAAAAAAAAGAGAGAGAGAAAAGATACACTTTTGCTGCATTTTTTGGATTGTCAGCAGTTTCCAGGATGTGGCAGATCTTCTGTCAAGGCAAAATAGTGAGGCACTATATATGAGATGTGAAAAGAAAAGCTGTATATTGCCTTAAATAGGGACATGCATTATTTTAATTTTTCCTACTCTGGTGCCTTCAGAATATGGTAGACTACAACTCCCCTAGTGCCCAGTTCACATTATCTTTCCCAACAGTTTACCTGTGAACGTGGCTGTTTCATGTAGCTGTCATTGCAGCCGTATCTTTGTCTAATTCCCTTTTGAAGTTAAGTAAGCAAGAGAGAGCAAATTTTATGTTAGTGCAAATCATTTTGTTCTGGATTTGATTCCTGTTAACTGCATTTACACTTTCTCCAGTATGGGAGATGGGTAAAGATTTTCTTTTCCATACCACAGGAAAAGTTTTGCATTTTTAAAATCACATCTTAAGCTTTTTTAAGAACATTCTTCCCCTTCTGGTTGCATTTGTTTTCTGAATTAAAAGGCTGTTTTGCTTTAGCCTTTTTTGCACAGGGAAGATGTTCCAGTTCTTAAACTATTTTGTAAGAAATAACAACCCATACATGATTTTGTTACTTTCTAAGTAATTGGTTCCATCGTCTACTGTTTATCATCAAGGCATCAAAAGAATATTTTTTTTCCTTGTTTGTTGGCAGTATTTGTATCCAGAAATGCAGGCCAAAACATTTTCCAGGGTAAATTTTTTCCATGGAAATGTTTTTCTTCAGGCAGGTTTAGTGGTTTCAGAGTTGTATGTTTGCTTCTTAGGTGATTGTTCTAAAAAATTGAGAAGTGGGGATTTCATGGTTCCCCTTCCCTTGCATCAAATATTGTAACTTATATATAGTGGTACCTCTACTTATGAACTTAATCCGTTCCGTGACTCTGATCGCAAGTCGAGTTGGT